CTCTCTCTCTCTCTCTCTCTCTCTCTCTCTCTCTCTCTCTCTCTCTCTCTCTCTCTCTCTCTCTCTCTCTCTCTCTCTCTCTCTCTCTCTTTGCTAGTTTGATGATCGTTTTTGACCAGCTACGGTTTGCTCGCTTGGGTAGGGGGAAGATCGAATTTGGGTTGTTCTAACAATTGGAAGTCTACTTAGAATTGTAGACTGTTGGTGGGATGATAGATTGTAGAGGGACCGTCCTTGGACGAGAAGAAGGGGTAAAAATTCCCCACAGTTGTAGCCTGGGCTCTGCTTGGCCGGAGTGCCTTGCTCAGTCACTGAGCTGCGGCGACCTTTGTGAGGTATGCCGGGCCCATTTCCCAGCTTTGTTTGATAACGATTGCTCCTTTTCTCCAAAAAGAAAAAAAACAGAAATATGAATTTTTTTATTTTTATTAAATTTATTTGTTTTATTTTATTTTGAAAGTTTGGAGAACTTTGGACCAATCGTCGATCTATGTGTCAGGCAGGGTTGCCCAGGGGCCACGTTAATCTTCTGTATCATTTCAATACTAATGGATATATCAAGTACGTTAGTCAATTATTATTAATTTAGGAAATTAAAGAAAATTCGAATAATTTGATTTAAATTTTATATGCTGATCTCCTCCCCCCCACCCCCCTCCTCCCCTCTTCTGTTTGTGGTCCATGGGGAAAATCATTTGCACATGCTTGCTTGGCAGGTTTGTGGAGTGCATGGATTTGGTTTACGCAGCGGCGGACGTTGTTGTTGGGAGAGCAGGAGCCATCACTTGCAGTGAGCTGCTAGTCACAGGAACTCCATCAATATTGGTGAGCTCAAATTTGAAAGCTAGGCTACCAGAGTGGCCGGGGACCACTTGCTCGGCCGGGCCAATACTCCGATGTTGCCAGCTCTCTGCTTTTGCAGATGATGCGGCGAGCGTCGGGCCTGTACTAGCAGGCTTTGCTTTTGTTATGGTAGAAAATAATTTCTACATTTGTTCTTGTCATTCCTCCTTTTCTTGTTTCTTTTCGTTTACTTTTTTTCCCGTTGCTGAGGTATTCCGTTTTGCGGGCCTACTGTATGGTTCCGTTTTTTGACTATGGATATGGTTCATTTGTTATGGTATTTAAGAAAATGTTAGAGAAAGGACAAGGGAATGAAGGCGTATTAGTCAAATCCATTATACCAAAGAGTCGTCAAGAAACCTTAGCTCTTCGGTGGATTCTTGAAGGCGCCTTGTGGAGACGATGTTTGACAAAAAAAAACATAAGTTTAGATCAATCTTTATCTGCTGAAATACAGGATGCTTCGAAAAAACAAGGATTTGCTAGAAAGAAAAGAGATGATCTTCATAAATTAGCTGAATCAAATCGTAGCTTTTCTCATTATCGTTGGTGGTAAGAATGTACATATAGAAATCACCGCCAACCAAGCCCGAGTACGCGCAGCCTTTATGGCATTTAGTTAGCTGTGCGTATTTATTTTATTACTACGAAGTTTCGTCTTCTTGAAACTTACAGGCCAAACAAATTAAATGACACATCCCATAAACAAAGTAAATGACACATCCCATTTTTTATGTAATTTTCCCCGCTGTTTGGGTATTTTGTTTTTTGTTGTGGTAATCTTGTCTGCATCCCGGTTGGTTTTGTCCTGCTTTGCGGTCTATTTTGCAGCAGGTAGCGGTGCTTCATGTGGGGCCAGTCATCCGTTTTTTTTTTTTTTATTGTCTTGGCATCCTGGTTGGTTGTTTCCTGTTGTTCGGCCTTTTGAGCGCGGGGCGGTGCTTGTATGTGGGATGTTATCCGGGATTGTTTTTTATACCTGTCGTCCGGGTTCTTTTTGATTTCTGTTTTTTGCAGACAAGAATGTTTTGACATCCTGGTTGGTTTTGTCCCGTCGTTTAGCCTGTGGGCAGGGGCGGTGTTTGCATGTGGGACTTGTCATCTGGG